AGTGCCAGTACCATATTCATAGCTATACTGGATGCCTTTACAGTCGCACAATTGCAGGCATAACTCCTTACACTGATCAAGTGTGAAATTTGTCATGTACCCGGAGTCATAGCCATATAACTCCACGTTGGTTATAGTTAGAAAGCGAGACTCGGTTTTGTTGCAAGTAAAAGAGAATTTTGGTTCACACCCATATGCCCAATCGCCATCATTCGTCATCTTATAGCCTGGAAGACAAGTGCATTTGATACCAGAAATAGCATTATATAAGCACAAACTGTTTGGGCCACAGATGCCATGAATCCTGCATGGTCTTGACGTGGATTGCCATGTAATAGACCATTTCTCTCCTCCGTGTCTCCGACTGTAAACACGGATATTTCCATCATAATCAACAGTGACTCTTCTTTGGATCACGGTCCCATAATCAGATGTCATAAAGGTGAGTTCATCTGATGAACTAAAATTGCCAAGGCTATCCATCACTGCAACTCTACTGTTGTTGTAAACAGCCCTATTAGCCTGCCAAGAGAGCAGCCAAGGATCTGGCCAGTAAAGGGCTGAAACTTCAGGACCATCATAGAGAAGACGAAGAATATTATCACTGTCGAAAAACAGTGAATAGAAACCCGAGGACTTGTTAGTGTCACTTCTTGAAGAGACTAGTTTTGCATATCTGGTGAACACTTGTTGTGGAACAAGTGTATCTGTAGGGAAATCAAAGCTTTGCCACAGGATGACACCATCACCATCACCCTCCCCGACACGCAGAACAAGGTTACCAACATCGTCAAGAGACAGATGTACGGAGGACGATGAAACAGTATTTGTGGACCAAACGAGGGATCCATCTGCATCCATTAAGGCGAGATTACCATTGTCAAGTAGGGAAAGCTTTGAACCCTTCCCGTTGACAGGCTGGTCACGGTTTGCCATCCATACCGCCGTAGCGTTTTGGGTTTGGTCATTGGATTCGGAAAACCAAATGGCAAAGGAATAGGCATTGTCACCAACAGCATAGAAGCCAGCAGAGAACATGCCATTTGGTGAGAGCATGACATCTTCTGGTTCCTCCACTGAGAGGGATGAACCTTGACTGATAGTATCCACTGCTGAAGATGAAAGCTGTAGACACAAAACAAAATGGAAGAGGAACAACCATAAGGTCGATATAATACCCATGGAATCTCTTAAACATGCAATATCTAATTTTGCAAGCTAGCATGATCCCACATGTAACTCACACTGTCAGCATCAGTATAAATACTGTACAAATGTCTTCTTTGAGAATTGCCTACAAATTAAAGTTGCGTTTCATATAAATTACTACTCCATGCATGCGTTGACCATACCTAAACATATAAACTAGGCTTCGATGTTCTGTCACTTACAAAGTACTACTTTGCTTCTGCAAGACTGTTTGTTTAAAGGAATTTTGTTTGACAAGCACTTTTTTGTTTTGTTGGTTTGCGTTGACATGGACTTTGTTTTATCGATTATCATCTTTTATAATTATCTTCTTCTTTTTTTGTGAGGATTATAATTATCTTTAATATTGAAAGTGTAGGAATTAATTTTAAATTAATTATTTGAGTAAAGTACTTTTTTAGGGTCTTAATAAAAATTATGGGCCCAATTTAATCCTTTAGAAGAAAAAAAAAGTCGACTCATAGTCTCTCTGAATTTTAAAAAAGACCCATGTTAGTCCTTTTTAGGGACTAACGTGAGTCTTCTTTGAATTTCAGAGGGATCACGATTTCGATTAACTAGGTCTATTTTGAAATTTAGAGGACCACGAGTTGACTTTTTTTTCTAAAAGATTAAATTGGGCCCCGAGATTTTTGGTGAGGACCCAGAAGTGCTTTACTCTAATTTTTTTTATGAATACGAAATTTGATTTGAAAAGATGTGTCCTTTCATCAACATCAGGATGTGTTGCTTCATCCCTAACAAATGTGTTGTTTCATCCTAACAGACGTGTTGTTTCATCCTTGAACGGGTATCTTTACAATCGTGACCTTATGTTTTCAATTAATAGATAGACAATCAGAATTTTAAGTAGAGTTTTTTCTTTACATTTGCAATCTTCTACTCTAGTTCGATTGGTTAGGCATAGGTTGAGTTCGATGAGGCTATTCAATGTGGAAGTGACGCCACAAGAATAGAGGTAATATGTTCTATCTCGGGAGATATTTGTCCACGAATCTTTGGCACTATAGAGAGGGCAAAATTGTCTTGAGGACACATTGTCTAATACTTGGCTCGAATTTTTCCTTGTTGCATTCAAATACTTTCGTACTATACGTTTTACCTATGTATTATTACATGTTTCAATTTCTTATGTGCATTTCATAGAACTGTAAATATTGTTGAAATGATTTTTCTAACACAAATTATCCCTTCTTAATAATTTTAACATCATTTTGGATAACAGAAAGTTGTTAGAGATATATAAAATCAATTAATATAGCCTAATTCATCATCTAAACCTTTTAGGTTGAATAGGTATCAATATCGTAATGAGAAATAAATTCTGATTCGTGCATACTCGATGGATCTAATGCCTGCCAGTGATAAAAAAAAATTTCAAAAATCATGTTGTCCTCTCGGTCTCCTGTATTTCTTCCATAAACATCATTATGGCATTGTTTTAAGTTCTTAACCACCTTCCCAGCAACCAGTCAAGTCTTCAGTCATTGTCAACCACCATGGCGGAGAATTTTTTTCGCGAGCCACTCATCGATGCGTTTTACTCATATTTTTCTCGTTTCTCTCTTATTTAACATGGTATAAAGTCTCGGTGTCACGAGTTTGATCATTATTGTCCCTCATTTAATTAATAATTGATGAAGTATTGTGGAGTTTCTTAGTACATGTAGATGGACCTATGCATTGTTCACCTTTTAAGCCCAATGAGATCTCATATGAGGGGTACGTGATAGAGATATATAAAAATTATTAATGTAGCATAGTCCATCAACTTAAGCTTTTTGATTGTATTGGTTTTTTACAAAAATCTTTTGTTTTCTAGAATAGGATAGCAATTCCAATGGTGAACCAAACCTAACATAAACGGAAATGGATCCTCTCATATTTAAAAAAAATATGGCATGGTCATGGGACAATCATAATTATGCAAAGATGAATCAACGATTATGATTTAGTGACTACATATTTTAATATATTTTTCTCTCTCCTCTTTTATCACCATTAATCTACCTTTGTATGGTTATTATTGTCCACATAATCATCTCATGTCTTTTTCGACACCAAAGCATCCACTCCCAAGAGAAACTATTCCACAAGAATTTACGAACTGATAAAAGAATTACATTATTGCACTTTTTTATGTGTGGATCTAATACATCCTCCGCAACTACCTATTTGGTATAAAAATAAAAAAAAATTATATTCAATTTTGATTATTAATGTACTTGTATCCAATGGCTTATATAATTAAAGAATTAGAGTAGTTAGATATAAATAAAATTAATGAACAGGATTAAAAATATAATTTATATACCTACATATATATATATATATATATATAATTTATACTAATATAAAATTATTCTAACTCTATATAAAATATATGAAAGCATGATGTTATGAATTAAGAACTGATAAAGTGAGTTTAATATTGACAAATTTTTTATTGTTTTTAACCAGACATCTTTTTTATTAGGTATATACATTCTCAACAACTAATTAGTGAATACCTTACCTCAGTTATACCTGTATGATAGGTACATTGGCATTATCAACTCAACAACTAATTAGTGCATTATTTATTTTTTAAAAGTTTTTTACTATTAAATTAACTTTTAAAAAAATCTAATACATCACCACATTCATCTTAATGGAAGACTAAAATAATAAAAAAAAAAATTAGTTATTATTTTGTATATTTAAAAAAAAATATTTGGTCACAAAAATCTTTATAAAGTTAATAATCAATAATATTTAAAGAGCTGATGCAAATCAAAGCACCCCCATCGGCTCAAATTCGAGTCCTGTTTTGATATTTAAAATTTTAATTAAGAGGAATGATGTATTCTTAATTATCTCCTTAATTTGAGTCCTGTTTTGATGATTTAATTAATTTGGAGAGATTTGTCCTTAGTATTCTTAATTAAATTAAGTTTATGTTGGTAGATCTATTTTTATAACTGCCGGGGTTTGTATTGTCAAATATCACACTAAGATCCAATTTAAGGATTTACGCTTAATTCAGTAAATTTTTTTATCAAAGTCTAGTTTTATCAATTAGATTTAGATATTGAGGATAATAGCATGTGAAATTGAATTGTATCACACATAAAAATATCATCAGGTTTAACATTTATTATTTCTCTCTCATATATTGATTTTAATGGATACCACTACCCTCGTTCAAGTCAAAGATTGAAGAATTCTATTATTCTAGAATATTCCCGAGGCAAAAATATAATTAGTACTTTTTCGCAAGGAAATATATAAAATAATGAATTATTGCTCTAAGAATTATGTAAATTACTTCATTGAAATGTAATGAAGAAGAGGGACGGCATGTGGCTGTTGAATAATATCTCGTATTGCCCAACCGTAAAGAGTGAGGCGTGAACGCAACAGTAGCTTTCCAATTTTCAATTTATTCAGTCACCTTTCCCCGCAACATGTTATTTAAAAAAACAAAATAAAAAAAAAAACTCACCTTTCGGCAGCCCTGGGGCCCATAACCCCTTCTCTAACATGAATTGAAATCAATTCTTCGTACGCAAGAAAAAATGAAAATGAAAATAAAAATTAAGCATTAGATACAATACTGCTATTAAAAAAAGGAACTGTGAAAGAAACCAATCAACACAAAGCGCCGGCGTTACACAACCAAAAACTAATAAATCGAACACAAATTATACTGTCATCAATAGAATTTGTTTGTCAAAGCGTTGAGATCACTATGAAATCACAAGACTATAATAAATTTCAGAAATACAACTGAAATTTAAAAATTATGGTCGATAGCATATTTCATTCATAGATATGATCTCTCTGCATAGGGTTCCCAAGACTACGGGTAACACTCAACAAATATAAATTCACAACATTTTCATCTGTAAGTAAACTGCAATTATGACAAACATTCTATATCGGCACGGCTCTTTGGTATTATGTACAATGCAAAATCAATTGCTTTGTAGTCCCCAAGCCTAGTCACCTTGTTTGTTGGTGCTATTCTCTATCTTCTGGGACATGATAGGTAGAAAGGAAAAATATGCTCTGATTTTTCTGCAAGAACCTGCACCAGAACATGGATAGTTAGTTACACAACATAATTTATTAATTTATTCATAAAATGTCAAAAGGAAAATTATTTTCCCCATTTAAATTCTTCAATAACGACTATATTTTACGTAAAACTAGGATGATAACATTGAGACCTGAGAAAATAATGAAATTGTGACTGAAGTTCTTTCAATGTCTCCTCTTCCAGGCTAGCATGAAACAATAACTCGGGCAACTTAACTACACATCCATAAAAACATGTAACAGTAATTAGAATAAAAAAGTATTAGAATTACGAATAATAAAACTATACGAAATGAAAACTTTAACAAAACTATGAGCTCATAGCAATCAATAAACCCACAAGTAAGGCTGAGTAAGGGCAAGCATTTTGCTGTCCAATATGGGGCAGAACAACCCCACTAGTTCTAGGGTTGTGTAAAATAACTCAAAGTACTGAACTCTTGTAAGGTGCACTGCACTCAAAAAAACTGATTTTTTATTAACAACTTATGAACTAAACTGGTTTTTTAAAATAATTCATGAATTGAACTGGTTTTTAAAAATCAATTCATGAACCGAATTGGTTTTTCTTTTTCATCTTCTACTCTTTCTTTTTTTGGATAACCAATCCTAAATACCTCTTTGAGGCAAATCAGATTCCCTCGGTGTCCCCACGAGTTCGACTCTCTGAGCCGCCTATAGGACTAATCCGGAGTTCAGGACCGCGGCCTGGCATTACGGTATTTCTTGCCCCTCCCCAATGTGGCATTTGGTGGGACTAGATCCGTGGTTCTTGTCCTCCCCTTGCTCAGTCCCCCTGCAACCAACTGAGCTACCGCACTTAGGTTCCTTCTACACTGTTTTTCTTTTTCCATTATTTCTTTAACTTTTTCTTTTTCTCTTATGTATTTTTATCTCTTATTTATCTTTATTTTCACTTTATTTTATTTTCTTTTTCTTTTTAACTTTTTTTTGTTTTTTATTTCTAGTATCATTTTTTTATTTTTTTATTTATATTACTTTTTTTTCCTCAATATTTTCATACTTTTCATTTTGGTTCATCTGCACCGACCCCAATTAATTTGGAATGAAAGTGTTGTTGATGAACCAAACTAGTTTTTTATGCTATATTATGCTCATTTTTTTATCATATACAAATGCTTCAATTAACATATTTATTGTGAAAAACCTTTATACAAGTTGTAACATTGATAACCCAGGATATTTTGACATGTTAGTGTATTTGATTCAATTTATAGGACTATAATTCTTCAATCTATTGTTCATACATGAACCAGTTCTGAATTGGTACAACAATCAGTTCTGAACTGATTCCAAAAAATAAATCAGTTCAGTTCTCCGAACTGAATTGTTTTCTCTAGTTCAATTCCCTCCACTAATTTTTTTTTTCTAGTTCAGTTCGGTTCGGCCCAAAAAACCGAACCGAAACAGTGCACATCCCTACCCACTGTCATTTATATTTCTATTACAACTTAGTGTCACGACAGACTACCAAAAACTTAATCTTAAGACACTTCTGACTACCTTCCAATGCAAAAAAAAAAAAAAATGTATAGTTCTAGATCATATAATAAGCTCGTCTCTGGCAGACAAATGAGCATACCGAAAAGACGTAACAAATGCTCAGCACCATATATAGCAGAAGGAAAGACATTATTCGGACAAGCTTCTTGGTACTGTTGACGCTCATTCTTGTACAAGAGCATAACCGGCAGTGCTTTGTCAAAGTAACAACACAATCCTTTCATAATTTCTTCAACTGAATCAGTTACCCTATATCAGACATAGCATTAAACAATAAAAATAAGCACCATGAGTAAAAAGTATGAAGGAGGTATCAAAAGTGAATTCAAGATACTAACAAGTCAAAAACCCCAATAAAATAGATTAAGACACTAAGATGCAGATTTTCGGTACAGAATAATCATAATGGAACTTTCTACTTGGACAAGGTATTGATCAAATGGAAAAACTAAATTATAGTTCAAATAAAAATAAGCAAATAATATGTGAAAAGATTATGAGGCAGAGGTTTATTTTTAATCATAAATAACATTGATGAAAAAAAAATTACTGCTTAAGGTGCCCGTGTATGGGGAGTTTTTCCCCCAATTATTCTAAAATATATTCAAAACAATTCAATATATGATTTATTTCCCAAAACAGAAAAAGTTTAACATGAAGCTTAAAAATGGAGAATGCCTCAGCCTGAACTTACAGGCCACATTTCTGGAATAGGTGATCAAAATAGTTCTTCAATATATCCTTCACATTAGGAGTACGAGGAAGTTTAATGAGCTGCAGATAAATTCAACAATTTTTAAAATGACAAGAAGTTTTTCTTCTTTGAAGTAAGACCGTGCACTGTAACAAGCTATATCAACTTGCTGATAAAGGAAATGAGGCACTGAATTACCTTTATAAGTAATAATAATATATTAAAAAATGATATCACTACCTTGCCCAGATGTGTAATAAACTCACAATCATCAACTAATTGCTTCTTTAAAGTTGTTGGAATCTGAATGTTGACAAGCTTGCCAGAATGAACAGTAAGCTCTCCCTAGTTTTAAGCAAACAATAAAATCAGTTAAAATATACCATACAGCAACAACAACAAAAAGTTGTGAAGAATCATCCCTTCACCTTGTCCCTAAGACAAAACATGAGCCCGGATGTTTGAAATATTTCCTTCACAATTGTCCAACTAATTTGTTTAACAGTTTATATAAATGCATGAACTTCAAAGATGTTTGGGTGCACAACAAATGCCTTATACAAATTAAAATTTAAAATGAGAGAGTACCTTAATCAGAGATTCATTCTTTCGTTTCCTGCCTCTTGTCACTGCATTACATTTTTCCCATAATGACTCAGAGATACTAGGGGCACATAATGGAGTAAAAGTTGATCTCAACATATAAGTTCTTTTGATGTACAACTACAAGAATAGTTAAATTAAAACAGGAATGCATTGAGGATTGTATCTGTATATCTTCTTGACCAAATGGCTGCCAACTTTTAATTAAAGGGAAGAAGTGATCCACTTTTTTTTCTTTTTTTGATACATTCGGGGGCTAAAAGCCCCACAACAAAGAAAGAAAAAACAGAAACAAACAACAGCAACAGAAAACAAAAAACCGAAACAGAGAAAAATCAAGAGCTGCCAGAAGAGTCTCCAGGGTCCCAAATTCAGATTCCATGAGCTGTAACAGCTTCTGATGAGGAGAAGTGATAGCATAGAAACCCCAGTTCTTGTTGAGAGCCTCTTTTGCTAACCAGTCAGCACATCTATTGATAGATCTAGGAACCTGAGAAAAGAAAATAGTCCAATCCTTCTTCACACAATCCCCAATCTTGGCAACCAGGGGAAGCCTTCGAGAGTCATTACCAGAAAAGGGAAGAAAGCTGATAACTTGAGAAGAGTCACTTTCAACCATGATTTTCCTCCAACCCTTATTCTACGCAAAGGTTAGACCATGGTAAATAGCCAACAATTTAGCCCAAAGAGGCGTGCAAGTACCCAGGAAAGAAGAAAAGCCACCAATCCAAGATCCAAGGGAGTTTCTAAAGATGCCACCACAAGCAGCTTTGTCTCCCGAAACAGCCCCATCCACATTTAATTTAAGAAAATCATGATCTGGCCAAGTTCAGCAAGGGGGAGACTGGGGGGTAGAGCTGTTTAGAAATCTATAAGAAAGATTAAGCCTAGAGGAAGCAAGTGGTGGAGAAATTTATTATCAGGTCTTTTAAACTCATTATCAAAAATATCCTTATTTCTCCAATTCCAGAGTAAATAGCACACAACAAAAAAGATAACCCTCCAAAATGCAGGGTGAATTTAATAAGATCCTTTGCTCCCCACTCTTTCGTGTAAATTTATTATCCACAGTTATTGGAGAAATATCTAATAAAATCAAAATCAATTCAAAGAGAAAAATTTTCTTACTTTAAAAATATAAAAACTTGTTTAATCATAACACTGAACATGAATTTCCATAAAAAGTTAAATTGGAGATAAAGCACACAATAATGTTATTAAAAAAATTAGTTATGGTCCTATTGTGAGAGAAGACGGATGACCCCCAACTACACATATAACTATCAAGTAATATCAATTAAACCCCCATAAAGTTAAATTATGTGAGGTTTCCGGTTCCTGAACATGGTGAAGTTGCAACAATTGTTTCTTACCATGCATATTCAATAGGTATGCCTCTAGAAGATGAATACAAGTGCAATACTTCAAGAACCGTATGCCTTCTAATCCAACAAAGAAACAAATGCGCAAATATAAAAATATTCTCCTCCCCATCCCTGTCACCTCAACAGACATAGAGCACATACTGCACACCAAGAAAACTATGATGAATCTTTTTTGTTGGATTCCTAAATGGCAAATCAGACAACATCAACATCTACCCTATAGTTGAGAACAAGATACACTCAAAGTGAATTCCTCTGTTATGCCACTAATTTGGCTTTTGGATAGTAACCTAGCTCTGTCGTCTATACTAGGCCATAAATGACAAGAAAGGTGAAGTTTATGTCATCTCTCAACCATAGCACTCAAGGAAAGTGAAAATTGCTGAGAATTTCTCTGGTGATTACAGCAAGTCATTGGTAATGAACTAATTAATTAAAGTGCAGAAATGATATATCTGACCGTTGGAAATCTTAGTATTCTTGTCATTGCCATATTTCTCATCAAGGGCAAGCTTTTTGCACATATTTTCCTCCGTGTATTTCATCAAACGATCAATAACAACCCATTCATCCCACCTGCAGTAAAACACAAATGCTAAAAAATTGAGCACGCAGCCCTTAACAGAATGTTGAATAAGACCACGTCATGCTTACCTTTTCTTCCAACCCTGAAAAGATTAAAATTTAAGAAAAAAAATTATTTTAAATAAATAAATAACATTGAGAAAATGAGAAGGCGCATGATTGTAGAGCAGTGACAGAAATGTAGACATGCTTACAGGATAATGAACAAAGAACCACCATCCATCATCCCTGTACTGAACTTGATTAACCTTTTAAACAAGAAAGATGTTTCAGTTTCACAATAATTTTATAATTGGGGAATAGAAGGGAAATGAAGGATAAATATACCGAAAAAAACAACAACAAAAAATAAAATTGAAAGCATTGTTATTAGGAGAGAAACCTTGGCTTCATAAAGACAAGTATTGTGATAGGCGAGGACCTTCTCTCCTTCGGCGTAGGGAGCAGCGGAATCAGTTTCTGTTTCAGTGTGAGTGCTGCTAATGCTATTGCTATTGGAATTGTGGGTAACCCCAGTGATTGTCTTCGAACTCCCCATTTTCTTTCTTTACTATTATGTGATTGTCTTTCTCCTTACTCTTCCAACTACTCAGATTTTGCTCTCATCACTATTCACAAACAGTCAATTTCTCCCCCAAAACCAACAAACACGTATCTTCCCATTTTCTTCTCTTCGGTCAAATGGAAGAAGATGACCTCACCTTAATGTAAATAAATAAAGAGACTTAAGCTAAATAGTCAAGCGAAAGAAGCCCGCATTCCCACTCTTCTTTCCCCCTATCGCTAAGGGCCTCGCCGCTTTCCCAACCAGAATAGAATGCAGCTCGACCCGGCTGAAAACCTATAATCTGATACTAATGCCTTTGTTGGTTGGGCCTTTGCCTTTGATGCCTCACCACTTTCAGAATCAAGTGCTAGTTTTCTTACCTTACAATGTCGATCGGGCATTCATCGTTTAATATTTTGTGGGACTCGTATTTTTTTAAACAAAAAAATAAAAAAAAATCTACGACACGAAAAATGAATCTCTATAATATAACACAATCATTTTTCCTATAACATAATTTTTATAAAACCCATAAATAAATTATGAAAAAAATATTTCTGCAGATAAGTTATCTGCATTTATTTCAAAAACGACGACGTTTTGGTATTAAAATCTTAAAAAATTATAAATATAAACACTATTATAACCCTATAATAAATTAAAATTACAAAAAACCACGATTTCTGCCCAAAACAATGTCGTATTGAACTTACTGCAGATAACTTATCTACCGTAATTGCAGAAAAAGTGAACTCATAAATTATCTACCAAAATAAGTAAATAAAGTGAAGAGATATATTTATCACCAATTAAGTTTATCATTTCTTATATTTTATTTGTTGATTTTTATCAATATGAAAATTATAATTTATTGAGAATTAATAATTAATTAATAAATATCATCAATAAATTATAACCATCGTATTAACAAAAAAACAATAATGAATATTTGGTGGTAAAAAATAATAAACTTAATTAATAATGATTGAATTACTACCCATAAATAAATACTTTATATCTGTCATTGTAAAATTAATAAAATATCCCTTCGAAAATTAGAATATTGCAAGATAAATTTTAAAAAAACGATAGTCTATCAAATATTATAGTCTTATTCTCTAAATTTTTAGATATATTTTAGGGGTTTGCATTTGTTATTTAACATGACACAACAAACTTATTTACACATATAATATTTTGTGGGGCCCACACTTTTAGAAGAAAAAAGAAAAAAGAAATTATGGCACGCAAAACGAATCTCTATAACATTACACAATCACTTTTTCTGCAACATAACTTTTATAAAACCCTATATTTTATCGTATTAATTCTTTTAAGATATACAATTGATAACAGTTATGTATCTTTGAGGTGATATTAAAAAAAAAAACATTAAGGACTAATACGATGGAATTTTAATTTTTAAGAAACTAATTTGATAATAAAAATGAAAAAGTGTTTATCCTTTAAAATAACATAATTTGTGTAATTTCACTGTCACGAAGAGGACAAAGAGGTGGAACTCATATCTTTATTTTATTTTTGTTCACTCTCTCTTCTCCTTTATCTGTATTTTTCTCTCACTTAAAATGACATAACTTTACATCCTTTAATATGATACACATATTTCCAATAAAAATATTTAGAGGTCTACCGAGTACCGTGACAATATCCCAAGGGAGCGTTTGATATAGGAGATATTTTTTTTATCGGTAAAAAAAGATTGTTGGAGATTTGGTAGGGACTTTTTATCCCGGGTAAGTTACGAAAATGGCGTTTGATTGGCCAAAATTTTGCCGGAAAAATTGGGTTAATTTTATTAATGCTATGTTTGTTTGATGGTAAAATATTTATAGAAATGTGAATCAAAATTACCAAAATACTCTTAATTTTCTGAATATGAAAATGTGAATCATCATCAAACATTCCTTTTTTTTTAGGAAAAAGTGAATCAAACGTTCATTTTTCAGAATCCAAGACCATGGGCAAAAAATATATATATCAATGACTAAGTGGGATAATTTTTTGCCTTTGTGTAATTCAAAAGAAAAATATTGGGGGGAAAAAATTGCTGGCATTTTGTTTATAATATATTAATATCCATAGCAAACATGGTAAATAAATATTATCCACCTCACTTTTTCATCATTTTATACCAAATATTCATACCAAACACTCCAAATCTTTAGAGAATCAAATCGAGAATATATTCATTAATTAATCATTACATCACTGAAGTAAATTCAGTTTTTAATTGTCTTTAAACAAAATTAATATAGTTTTGCATATTTCTTTCTTAAAATCACCCATTTATGCACAATAATAAATAACCCCGTTAGACTCAGCAATAGGGATACGAATGGGTAAAGATTCAACTTCAACGAGTCTGACATATTTTTCATATCCAAATCACTAACCAAAAAATAAATAAATAAAAAAATCTCAAGATAAAGATATCATAATTCGATCTCAGTGTATTTTATTTTTATTTTATTTTTGAATTTCCTCAAAGTATTGACAGTCGAAGACTAATTCTTTCGAAGCGTAAAGATCATCGAAGTAGATTTTACATCTAACAACATAACATTTTTCATACATACCTTCAGGAATCGAACCCCTGTTAACTTATTTAAAGGATCCAATCATCTACAATTGTGTTGGACTTTATTGGTATCCCAATATATTTTTATCAAAGAGTTGTGCGGACAAGATTATCTCCCAGCAAAGAAAAATAAGGGGAGTGCGATACGAAATAATTTAATTTTTATTGCTAGCAAGTGAATTTACACTATTACTATCAGTTTTTCCCATATGCATTGATAATTCGTGGACAAACTTCATAACTTAAAAGAAACTCAGTATTTCCTTATTGCATTAGGTAAAAAAAATTATTTGGTTTTTTGGTTGCGTTAGGTAAAATTTATTAGTGCGAAAATGGGTTAATCAAAGACTAGTGACCCATCTTCTCCATCCAAGGTTTTGGTGGAGTTTGTTTGAAGCAAACCTGGGGAATTGGGTGGATAAAAATTTGCGTAAGCAAACGGGCCATGAGGAGCATTCTACTTGGAACCTACAATTCGGCTTTAACTTTTTCATTGGTGTGGATTAACCAAAACACTTTGGTGTTTGAAGGATACAGTGGGAGTTTGGATAATCTGTTGTTTCTTGCTAAGCACAAAGCCCTAGAGATGGAGCACGTTCCTCTTTCCTCTTTGCACGGATTCACTTGCGTGAATAAGTACCATGTGGCTTCTATTGGTTGAGTGTTTCTTGATTGGAGTTGAATAGAGTGTAACGTAGGCGATTCTTTGTAAGCTAGCTACCTCATGCTGCTTGTGAAGGTATCGTTTTTTACTCTTCCAGTGCACGATTGGCGGAGTATGCTTGTATTCTTGGTTCATCGAGAGTTTTAATGGCTAAGTTGTTCAGTCATTCTTAATAGCTATTTCAGTCATTTGAATTTCATCTTGAAGGGTTGTGGACCAACCCATCCATGTGTTCCCACCCATGGTAACTTATATCAAGGACATGCTCTCCGATATGTGAAATGCTTATGTTACTCATGCCTAGAGAGAAAGGAACATAGCTGTTCCTAGGTGACCAAATCAATTTTGCACACGCTATGAAAATTGGTTTGCATTATTTGCATTCTTGAACGTTCCTTAGTTGAGTTTATAGCCAGAGTTTCTTTTCTTAATAGTCTTGAAGTGTATCCTATAGACCTTGCCCCCTCCTTATAACCCCCTCGAAAAAAATGGTGAAGAGAGAAAAGGCTCAAATTGGTGGAGGGGTGAATAAAAACAAAAACAATATATTCGTCCAAGAGAGTCAGTCCTTGTTCGTTGATCTAATTCCTAAAGAGTGTTCAGTATATGAAACGAATAATAGGGATCCCACAAGCGACAAATATCGTCCCTTAACAAAAATTTGGCTTTTGCGGAACAATGGAAGACGAAGTCATCTCTGTGTCCTTTAGCCATTGGGAGGAAGTAAGGGCCAGAAAAATCAACAGTACCATACATTTATTACAAGAATAAGACCTTAGCGTCTGTCTCCATTCTTGTGTGTATTCGGAAAAGACACGCTCGTGGCCTCCAATCACTCTCTTCCCCGATTCAGCATCTCATCCCCACCAAACCCGTTTCTTATTCAGCACCGGATGAGATCCCTTTTTTTAACCCAGATCCAAACGCTAATCTATTTAACAAACCCCCCCAAAATAAGCAATTAAATCTCAAGATAAAGGTATCATAATTCGATCCCAATATATATATTTATCAAAGTACATACAACAGATCCCTTAAGCAATTCCTTTCATCACAATTTACAAAAACAGCTTAGCCTAATTGCCCTAAATAAAAAGCAGATCTGATAACTGAAATCCAAAAATTGCACAAAATAAAAACGAAAAAGAAGAATTCCAAAGCCGAAATCATGTTGTGGAAGAGAGAAAGACAAAACGGAAGCACAATTAGATTTTAGAACATTTCATTCATCTGCTCGTGTTATTGAAATTCATCTTCTCATAGTAGCGAATAGAGAGGAGTGACAGGGAGAGATGAACCTCGTCTTTCCCCAAACGAGGTAGCGGCTTCGACCGAATAACCTGCGGGATGGGACCCCAAGAAGAAGAAGAAGAAGAAGACGAGGACGAGGAACATGTTTGAGGCCTCGAAAGAGGTAAGAGATAAAGCGAGTGGAGACGACGGAACCCACCAAGGGCAAGGACCACGGATCGTAGCTGTTGCTCTCCACACCCAGTGTTAGCCCACTGCTTCGTGCAGATCAGCTCCCAAAGTCTCTCGTCATGTGCAGTCTTGTGCCACTGCTTGTTCACGCAACCCGCCATAGCTAGCGTCCTCGCATCCACGTGCTTCAACACCTCGAACAGCAGATTGTCATCGAAATACGAAACGCCATGAGTCTTCCCATCATCGCCCTCTTCGTCGCTTTCTACCGCCTTCACCTTTTTCATCTTCCTATCCTCGCCGCTTGCCGAGGGAAGTGGACGCTTCATCGCAATAATGCTTGAATTGAAATTACAAGTGAAGAACCAATTACCCTTTTGTCGTTTCTCTCTACCGCAACCAAAAGGATAGGATCTTTGGTGGAGGGTGAAGAAGAGGAAAGAATCACGATCAGAGAGGCGTTGTTCTGCAAAACTAGTTGCATAAAGGGTCAATAAATAAAATATGTTGGGGAAGAGGAGAGAGACAGAGAGAGAGAGAGAGAGAGAGAGAGGGAGGATGGGGATAATGGTAACGAAATTGGGTCGGTAATGTATGTATGTGTAATTCTGAGATTGATAAAATAAAATTGCGAGGGTTTTTGGTGGAAAAGATAGATAATGGGGCAGGTGTAGTAAAGGTTAAGGTTAGGGGGGTGCACCTGTTTTTTATGGTTATCGAAGACGACAAGGAGTGAAATGAATGCGCTTCGATTCTTTTCTTTGATTGACGATTTTGTCCTTATCCTTCTGGCCTTGTATTACTGATGCTATTCCCCCTTCTCTTCATTCTTACCGGGAAATGGGAATGGTGGGTATGGGTACGTATGGGTATGTTTTATTAATTTCCACCGTCACGTTTCCCCAGGGAGTAGTTGTCTTTTACTGCACTCTAAAACATCATCTCATATTAAAACAATTGCTTGATTAAACAGTCCACACAACAACCAAAAAAAAAAAACTACTCGAAAATAACGTGTTTTCTCGTCCTTATACGGACTGTTTAGGTTGTTTTTTGTATTTTAAATCCAACCGTCTGTAATAATTTTGAGCAATTTTTTTTTTCAAGAGTTGTTTGGTTTGAAAAGTTTATCTGATAATTTGAATGTCTCGTATTGTTAACTACTTAAATTGATTGAATAAATAATAAAGTAACTTTTGTAATAATTTGGAGAATCGTCTCTCTTAGGAGGTATTTGGTAGGGAATTTTGATGAAGATAACCAGGCAACTTCTAGTGGCATTTTAGCATAACTATGTTTGGTAGAAGTTTTAAGAAAATTTAACCATGCAAATACTTTACCCAGCCATTGTAATTTGTTTACAAAATTTGATAAAAAACACTGTTTTAAAAAACTATTGAGAATGTGGTATTTTCATTTGATAGGAAAAGAAAAAATGGATCTCAAATTTGGAGACTAAAATCCCCTGGTTTACTTTTGGAAAAAGTGGAGTCTCTTCCAAAAAAAAGATGGTATTTTCTTTTCAATCTATTTTTTCATCAATATTTCATCTTCAATCAAATATAGATTCAGAAAATTTAACTTTATTTTTTCAATAATATTTCAGTCTACTAAATAATTTTTTTTTAACTTTTTTACTATATTCTTAGTAATTATATTTTCCTAATAAAAAAAACTTTTCATCTGCCAAACATCCCGGCATAGCTAATTTTGTTATTGAGTTAGGCTAAGGCTGTTTTTAATTCTAACCAGATGGAGAGTTCGGCATATTTCACATTCCAAATAGTAGTGTTGAGATCTCATTAATTGAGTAAATGAACAAAGTACTTAAACAATCATATCCTCTTAAAGTAGCTTTCTTGAGCTAAGTCAGGTCAAATTTGTTCTTACCTTCAAATTTTAATACATGTTTTTTTTTAAATATCTTTCAAAATTTTATTTATATACATTTTAAGTATAAGTCCTATTTGTAATAAACTATAAAATAAATCCAATCTGATAAAGAAAATTATCAAATATTTTTAGAAAATAATTTGAGTTTAACTATTTGCGTTTATTATATATGCATAAGAAACTATGATATTAATAATATATAACACATTATAATTAACGTTTTTTTTTTTAAATTCCTCATGCAGAAGCACTGGAAACTTAATGATTATTTATAAGTTCATATAAAAATATAATACCAGATACATTTATAACTTAATGGTTAACATTTTTGTTATGAATATTTTCTAAATCATGTAAATTTTTTTTTAGCTGTGGGCCAACAATTGAAAATAAAATTAAGGCCCAATTTGCTATTGCATTCAGTTTTGGCCTTATTTGCTAACTGAGACGCTGTGTTTTGCTTTGCTGAGTAATATGACAAATATCCTTGTGCTTGGAAATCAAAACATGGCATATTCCAAAAAGCAAGAATCAGATTTGGGTTTATTTGGTTTTCGTTGAAGTTCTCTAAAGAAAGAAATCTTAGGGTTTCTTTGAGAGCTTGAGAGGCATACTTGAGAGTGTTAAACTGAGAATCTCATCTCGGTGATGTTGAGAGAAATGTTCCTCTTGCCAAGACGCTCAGATTGATCGGTGCAATTTTGAAGGAATCATCCAACACTAAAGAAAATGGAGCATGGTGGCGTTCCTTGTTGGTAAAGACGGGTTCGCATACTTTGGGAGCTGAAGGCACCTGGTTCTTGGTGTTTGCTCTGAGATTTGGTGACATCTTTCCTTTATTTGTTTTACTGTTGCTGATTTCATCATCTGGTTATATGTGCGTTGTAATCTTGGTTTTTCTTTCTCTGTTATATGCCTTGTATATACTGTATTGGTAGAGTTACATGTTTTGGATCTTGAACTCTTTGTACCTGTTATCTGTTTCTGAATAAGAGTGCATGCTTGAGGGCGTTTGACCCTCACTGGCCAACTTGGATGTAGGAAATTCTTTTACAAAGAATTTCTGAACCAAGTATAAATTCTGGCGTTGTTCTTTATGTTTTGTGTTTATGTAAGTCAGTTTTCTGGAGTGATTCTTGGTAGCTCTATACCAAGAACTATAACAATTTTACATTTTTTGTCTTGATTTCTCATTATATATTGAGTAAAACAAACACAAAATTAGAGTATTTTGAGCGTTTTTAGAGTGTGTACAACTTAACTGTATTCGCGTTGGAATTTGATTTTTTCTAAAATAGGAGATGCATTGAAACTAAAACTCAAATAAACAGACAATAAATTAAGGGAAGAACATTTGTTCTTTTAAATGATATAAATTTGTATCATTTTAAATAAAATGATATTGTTTTTAAGGGGAAGGATATTGTAACAGCCAAGTTGTGTTACTACCAAGTGACTACCAATCAATCTCACCGTTAGATCGATTATGTTGATCCAACGGTTATATTTATTTCCATCTTTGTATGGTCATGATTCCCCATATTTAAAGTGAAAGCATTAAATATGAGAAATCATAACCATACAAAGGTGAAAATAAATATAAAGTATTAAATTTGGGGAATCATGACCATACAAAGATGAAAATAAATATAACCATTAGATCAATATAATCGATCTAACGGTAAGATTGATTGGTAGTCATTTGGTAGTAACACAACTTAGTTGTCACAATATTCTTCCCCGTTTTAATGTATAATTAGTTAATTTTTATATCCTCTTCCTTTACTTTCTCTTTCTTTCTAGTTTTATGGAGAAGAGATAATTTAAAAAATATTAATTATGTACCAAAATAATGTTATTTCATCTAAAATGATATAAAGTTATATCCTTTAAAATAATAAATATTTTTTTATTAATTAAACTGTGCTTTGTTTCTTTGGGTATATTTAATATACTATAAAATGATACTCTTAATCACTACCTCGTTTTTATTTTTTTAATATCATTATTAATTTTAATTTATTTCAAAGTATAACTTATTTTAATTTTACACCCAAACATCACAAACACAATTATCAAGGTAAGTTGTATTATATTAAAGACTTTAATAGATTGAATATTTTGATTATTTTTTTATTTAATCACTCTAGCAGCAAAAATATTATTAGCGGAATCAAACATGTATAACAACTACGTTCTTTGACCTAAAGGGGATTTTTAAACACTTAGAAAGCGTTTGGAGCACGGCTTATCTGAGAAATCTCGGGAAAGCCGAGAAGGAGAAAAAATTAAGCAATGTTTGGTATGTGAAATTTGCAAAATTTCCCAAGCCACGTGTCTTTCCGGGAAAGTGCTTTCATGTGTTAACTCAAGTACGGATGGAGAAATCAGATATCCCAAAATTTTGTGGAATTGTTTGCAACCCGGGGAAGACAAAAGTAAAGCGTGAAAAATTTGACAAGAATGACCCCGTGTTTGTACGGTATGTAGATGTGATCTAAGCAAAAGGTAAAAGATGGGGTTATTTTGGTAAAACAACCTCACATTTTCACTAATATTTCATAACCAACCAAACACAAACTCAGTAAAATTAACATCATTTTTCCTAGAAAATATGAGTCTACCAAACAACTTTTTATTAATATTCCAGTAAAATATATTTTCTACTACATTCCGGTAATAATTATTTCCTGGATACAAAAAAAATTTCTTATACCAAACGCCCCCTTAATGTACCAGTTTAGTATCTAGTTGGCATATTTTACCAATGTGAGTCTTCAAGTTCCGCAGGGGCAGCGGGTTGAGTCTCGCACATCCTCCCCTGCGGAATTCACACGGACGTGCCAAGTGGCATAATCTCATTAATGTAGATTGTCTCGTTACCATAAAATGTCAGAAGACCATAACTTTTGACACGGGTATCCAAATTAGATGATTTTCTTTTTGATTTCATATAACTTTTTGAGATCTACGCAGTGACACTTTGATTGGCATAATTTATCTCTCACAAACTTAGTTTCAATTGGTAACAATGGTATCATAATCATAAGAGCGTTTAAATCCATAATACTAAACATTACTCATTAATCGGCAAAAGCACATTTATAAGATTGTTGGGCAAAAGAATTGCCCAATTAAAGCTGATTGGATAATCAAACACGTCGTTGTACTAACGGGACTAGTTCCATCAATGATCTTTACGGGACTAATGTCATGTCAACGACACGTAGGCAGTCACGTTAACGTAAAACTTCAGAAGATCATAACTTTTGACTCAGGCATCCAAATCAGATGATTTTATTTTATTTCACATAACTTTTCAATATCTACGCAGTGACATCTCATTTGACATATTTTATCTTCCACAAACATAGTTCAAATTTGCAAAAATAGTTCCACAATCACAAGAGCGTTTAGCCTCTCAACCAACGATTTTTTCAGCAACAACATCAGTACTTTAGGGCTTTCCATAAGAAGAAATGTTATTATCTGTTGTTGCCCGTGTGTGTTAATGGAGAGGAAACCACTGTCATTATTTATTATTGTTGGATAGTTGAAAAATAAAAAATGAATTAAATAACATCATTCACATAGATAAAATGTGTCAATCGATGACATGTGTTGTAGCTCATTGTGTTAATTCGGAAAGAACTCGGGGGTTTCTGGATTTAAACACTCTTGTGATTATGGTATCATTAACACTACAAAAAAACAGGCATTTAGCAGCGGTTCATTTTTGGTATACGCGACGGTTACAACCGCCCCAAATTGCA